TTCCTTCCTTCCTTCCTTCCTTCCTTCCTTCCTTCCTTCCTTCCTTCCTTCCTTTCTTTGCAGTTGTTTCATTATCAGTTTGCTGGCTGTTTATATGTGGTAGCTTGTCCTTCCAGCCTTGACTGAGGCATTGTTTCTCCTTTCATTGGTCTTTGAATGGGAAGCTATTATGGAACTTTCAATATGTAGTACTTGTATACTGGATAAGTCACAGCAACAGCATCAACTTCAGGTATGCCTGACTGAGCAGCTCATAATACAAGGCAATATAAAAATAACAATCTCTATAAAACAGTAAAGAGATGCCCTATCTTGTCAACACAAAACAAATATCATACACTGAGCAGGGAATCCAACATTAAGCAATAACAAAAGTACTGAGCATTTGTACATCACTTTCTGCCCACTGATCACCCCACGGTCCATCAGTACGGCAATTTCCAGACCTTATAGAAGTCACTAATATGGAGAGCCATCCGCTTGGAAGGGCACAGTTGTGCTCAAGAGAATGAGATAAGAACTAACTATGAGACCCTTTATATTGACTTGAGCTATCTAGTCCAACACTATTATCTTCAGTGGGTGAAGGCTGATTATCCTTATTTCTGCAGTGATTCTCATGAGGAAGCACACTCATTGCTAATATAGATCCAACTACATGTGTAAATTCTTCTTGAGGATTGGGGGTCTATAAGTCAAGAATTAATCTAATTGACTTTGACAATAGCCCAGGTCGTGTATTAACAATAAAGTTTCTAATTTCTTATTCAGCCTTTTCAGCTTGATTGCAGACTGCACTAAGCAGCTGAATTTGCACATCAGTGCTTGGTTTGGGTTTAGTATTAGTTTGGGTTTAGCACTGGTTTATCATGATGTATGAATCCAGCCATAGTTGTAGGTAAATCTGATTCATGTCTCAGTGCCTTGTGTGAACCACATCTCCATGTTTTATTCAACAAAACATGATTAAAACAAACTGTTCTGATCTTATGCAAAGATATCTGTGAATTGGGTGGCCATACAAATTACTTAAACGAATACATAAACAAATTTAACAGATGGTTCAATGGTCACATTCCCCCATGGACAATTCTCCACAGAGTACTGGTCTTTCAGGGACCCCTTTGGATCAGCTCCCAGATTTGGTTAAGCACCAGAGGAGATTAGGATTTAGGTGGCTGTCATGTGGATGGTTATAGCCATTAAATGAATGGGGCAATTAATGCTAGGCATAGATTAAAAAGGCTAGAGCGACACATGCCAAATGACACAAGGCACTTGGGACAGAACATGTACCATGACTTAGTGTGATATACAAGCCCATCCTAACTGGCTGTTGGATCAGTCAGTATCAAAGATATCTCCCTTCCCCTTTTAGAAGGAAGATTAAAAGAGGAAGTAGACATGTGGTTGGTACACCTCTTTTTTTTCTTTTTTTTTCAGAATTTCTGTTTCAGCGAGCCTTTAGCATGCAAATGATTTTGGATATTTTCCAACAGAGAAAACTACACTGTAGAGATAATATTTCTTTCTTAACATTTATCCAATTTTTTCACATTCCATCACATTCTCCTACTATTCTGGCATGTTCTAGTGTGACAGGAATAAAAACTAAAAAGCAGCTACTGTATGCAGATAAGGGCAGGCTGGTTCTGAATGGGAGAGGTTGCAAAGGAAAGAGATTACATTACCCCCCCACCCCACCCCACCCCACCCCAGTAGACCCATTTGTTTTCTGTGCATTTGAATGGCTTTTCCCATGGAGAAAAGTCAGCTGCAGCACTCAATGACAATATATCCATTGATGTGATCTCCAGATGGGCAGTTCTGAGACTTTATGTGCTACTGTGATTTTAGTTTTCCATCCCAAACTAATACTGAGTTTGGAAAATGAAGGTGGAAAGGATGCAGTGAAGAATATTGCTGCTGCTTTCTTGTTCCCTCCCAATCAGAACACTGCATCTTGGCTTGGAGACAAGAAGTAACGCTTACCCCTTCCTTCCTTCCTTCTCTCTCTCTTCTTTCAAAATTGTGATTTCCTAAAGCAATAGATACTGGATCTGTCTCCTTTTGTGGAAATGAATCCAATACATATGCTAAGGAAATGATTATAACCCACAGTGTTCACTCAAACATGAATTCTTATCAACCCACAACACTGTCTGAATTTAAGATGCTATTTTTTTCATCTCTGCATGTGCCTGCCTTCAAGACAGTCTTGACTTGTCCATGCAGTTTGTCTTGGCAACACTTTTCAGAAGTGGATTGCCACTGCCTGCTTCCTAGGACTGAGAGACAGTGACTTGCCAAAGTCACCCAGCTGGGTTTGTGCCCAAGGTAGGACTAGAACTCACAGTATCCAGTTTCTAGCCCAGTGCCTTTAACCACTTAATCCAACTGGCTCTCCTTAGTGCCACATTAAATTCAAGGTATTTATATGATTTACCATATTTGTTAAAGACCCCACTCTTACATTTCTGGGTGTAACACCTGTGTGTGTTGAAGCTGCAATGACTTGCAAAAAGGCTCTGGTCACAATGGAGGTCATGAATTTACAAGCTACACTGGACCCTTCCACCAAGACATGGAGGTTGAAATCACCCCAAACCCCAGAGCTCAGAAACTCCAACACCAGCCCACAAATAACATTCAAGAACTCTCAAAGGGCCTCTGCTGGGCAGGCAGGTGGACAGTACACCACCAGCTGTCCCAGCTTGCCGAAATTGCACACAGTGACACTTGCAATCAGTTACTTCAAAGCAGCATCCCTTGCTATGGCTAGAGACTCACAAATTACCCAGGTACCCACCTGTTCAACTTTGGTGTTGTGGCTGATGCAGGAACTGAAACCCAGGAGAGGCGATATCTGATGGATGATGAGTCTTCATCCATTTCACTCCCCAACCAGGTCTCAGTAATACGTACCAGGTCACCATACTTGACCATCAATATATCATAAATGGACAATCTTATTTCAAAGAGACCTCCGGCATCAGCCATCAGGGGCCAGATTGCTTGTCCCCCTTCTGTAATGGCAGTCCTATAATCTAAAATACAATACGTCTAGTATTGCAAAGGAAAGTCATTTTAACTTAAAATTCAATAAAACCAGTTTCAGCTTTTATGAATTATAGATGCAGGAAGTTGCAGAAAGACAACCTATAAGATCGGCATCTTTCTTATTCTGTTGACATACAATTGTCCATCTGCAACCCCCTATTCCGTAAAACTTTTGCTGTACTTGAAATTGAAGGGTGCTCCCCCTAGGAACTAGCTGGCTATTACCATGTAATCTAGCTCCAAATAAAATAGGGAGGAGCTACAGAAGAGTCCACAGCAAAACCGTAAAATTGGCGAATTACAATGACCAGGCGCCCTCGGAGGACTTTCAGGAGCCCTCCCAACCCCACCCGACAGCGGCGTAAGAGCCCATTTTATTGCAAAGAATGACTGGTTTTTATTTGCTTTTTAGTCTACAGTAACGCTGCTTTCCTTTGGACGAGAAGCGCGCTATTTTGCACAGCGATCTCCAGACCTCCGGCGCTCGCTGACCGCGCTCCTCCCTCCTCCCTCCCCTCGGCCGCCCGCAAAGCCGCAGTACAGTATTTGATTTCTTGCGTTTCAGTTTACGTTTGGCCGCAAAGAGATGAGTGACAGAGCCCTAGTACAAATATGCCGTGGTGGCTGAAGGCGAGGGATCCTAAAGGGACAGGCGGCATTTAACAGCCATGGAAAACCTGTTGAAATCTGAACTGAAAACCAGCGTTTTGAAGCTCTTGGCTTGCTCGAGAGGAGGGTACATATGCCAAGGACAAGCCTATGAGACCGACAGAGGACGAGTGTTTGTTAAAAGCAGCACCAAGCCCCAGGTTATCGATAGGGACAGCTCTGTTAGCTACTGAAATACTGCCGTTGGGAAGGCTTGGGGACGAGGGGGGCAGTCAGCTGGTAGCGGCCGCGATAGTCGTCCTGTGACACAACTGTTCGTTTTGGTTTTGCGCTTGCAGAAAAGGGTGCAGAGGGTGGGCGAGGCGAGTTGCGTTTAGGGGTGTTTCGATTTTCTCCGCAGCTTGATCAGGGCCTGTTTTGCGGGGGGGGGAGGGGGGAATACATGTTCCGCGATTCGACCGTGGGGTGAAATCAGTGGAGGTAGTCCTGGACATTTGCAGTCATCATATAATTAGCCCTTCTGCTCTAGTCCTCATGAACTCTCCCACTATGCAAACATTTGATTAAATTTTGGAACCTGCACAGATTTATTGTGATGGAGACCTGTCTCCTGGTTTGTCATTCTTTCAAAGCACTTTCAGTACTGGGAATTTGGACGTCAATGAATAATAATAATTTGTCTGAGATGGGTGGCTATATACATGGGATATATTCATGAATATAATAAATGAATTAAACTTGTATGCTGTCTGACTCTCAGTGACTCTAGGCAGCTCACAACAATCAAAGAAATTACAATAAAAACAATAAAAACAAATACAATCAAATACTAATTATTTTCTCTGAGAAAAGAAGTTTTATTTTCTATATGAAGCAAATAGAAAAATACATTTGATTTTTTTTTACAGAGTTTGATAGTTATTAAGATGTATGTTTTTTAAGGATTTTTAAAAGTTAATGCTGACCATGGATGTTTTAATGGTGGTTGTATTCTTTGCATGCTCTCATATCCATTCCTAAGAACATTCTTGTTGATAACCAGTATATCGAAATTTATTTATATGCCAGCAAATGTTTTCTCTATTTTTTTAATACAAGTTGATAATTTTGCCATTAGTTTATTGCAGGAGTAAAAAAACATGGGTTGATGGACATATTAGGAATTATAAGAGCATGTTGTTAGTACTTTCATAAAATGGTCACAAATCACCCTTTTATGAAAGGGCAGATTCAGGATCTCTCCTCATCCTATACTCTCTAAAGATGTGCTCCAGCTTCCTTTTGTGAGCCACTTCCAAACAAAAAACTGAGTTACATTTATCCACCATTTTTATTTTCTAAGAATGCCTATTTGGGCCCAGAGACATTTTCTGAAATAAAGAGACTGGAGCTTTCTTTAGCAGTATGTTCTAACTTCTTGTTTATTGATTTTGTTAATGTTTGTGAATTGGAAGGATCTAAAACAACCAGGAAGAGCAGAGTGCTTGGCATGGGTCAAAGAAGGGCCTATGGGCAACTGAGTGCCTATTTCTGACATACGTGTTTACTGTGCAAGGCTTCCTTCACCTGCTCCTGGATTTTATTCCAATGTTTGGGGTATATTTATTTTTGTTTTGGGGAGATGATAAGTTCAGGTTTAAAGAAATGCTATTCCTGTATAACAGTTCTGTTGAAATGTTACTAAACTGGACTGTATTTATATTTTAAAGAATTGACTGAATTCTTCAAACACAAATCAAAGAAACAACTCTTTTTCTGTCCTGTGGAATCCTAATGTGCAACCAATTTTCATTAAGTTATATTCTTCTTTCTGACCAGGCTAGGACTATGTTTGAGGGTGAAATGGCAAGTTTAACAGCAATTCAGCAAACCAACAGTATACGGGTTCCTCAGCCAATTAAAGTGATGGATCTTCCTGGAGGTGGAGCAGCATTTGCTATGGAGTATCTAAAAATGAAAAGCCTCAACAAGTATGTTAAAGGCCTCATTTTAGGATGTTGCTTCTCCAAATTAACGTCCCTGTTCTTTTCTTTTGCAATGGCAGTTCTGAAAAGAGCCTATATGTTACTGCCATGAAACAGTGTCTCACTGGGAGTAAAATAAATTCTAGGATGGGGATTTTCAGGTTTTCTTGGGCTGTGGAAAGCTAAGTTTCCTGAAACCCCTGATCAAGAGGCAAACCTCTACGGACAGAAAATTTGTAATAAAACAACTTGTACTGATTGCTGCTAATTGTCATCTGTCTGTAACAAAAAGACTGATTAGGAGATTCCTGCCATGTCCATCAGAAACTTTCCATTTGACCTTGCTTCAAGTTCTAGCAGGGCTGGGTCAGAACATAGTTTGAAAAATCCTGTTCTGGGTATTAACAAACTCACATTCATAACAGATCATAGGATGATTTCAGTGAAGTTATGCCAGCATGGAATTCCTCCCTTTACTCACATATGTACCCTGTATGATGACAATCATATATATGGTATCTGTCAGGGTCGGAGAATCTACTTTGTCTGGAATATCTTGGCTGGATTGGCCAAGTGGAAGCATTCAAACATCCCAAGGTTCATTTCATCTGTTAACTCTCCACATCATGTCTGGTATTATGTCCACATCATGGCTGGTATGATGTCTTGCTCCAGTGTGGACACACAATCATTTGGAGGGGCCAGTCATAGCAGTATGAGAGCTTCCTTATGGTATTGCTACTGACATTTTGATAAGGTACCTTGAAACCAGGCAGGATGAATGTAATACCTACAGAAATTTCTCATAAGGAAGATGTGGGCAACTTGCCCCCCTTAATGGTATTTCAGTTATCTTTTGTCAAGTGATGAAATGAAAAAGAAATTTGCCCCTCTTCTGGAAGCTCACAGCAAAGGGAGCAGGAAGGGGGGAGACCGGGGAGGTAAAGAATGGGATGTCAGAAATAAAGAGAGTATATCCAGATCAAGAACTTACCATGGTGATTCAATTTCCCCGACAGATTATCTTCTGAGAAAATATGGCGCTCAATGAAAGAGAAAAATAAATACTCAAGGATCTTCCTCCATTGTGCAGTGTTTCAACCATATTTGAATGGGTTCACATCCATGTTAAGCTAAAAGAGTAACCTTGTGTGAAATGGGTGGCTATATAAATATATATATATAAATAAATAAATAAATAAATAAATATCTTATTGAATGTGTTGTGCAAATACAGTAATTGTTTTCTAAATTATATATGTGTGTGCATGCATTTATATAAAATCTGTTCAGGCTGGTTTGAAACTGCATGATCCACAACTTTGGAATTTGTTTTCCTGTCCTTCTAGATACTCAGCAAAACTTGGAGAACAAATAGCAGATCTTCATCTTTACAATAAAAAAAATGGAGAAAAACTAAGGAAAGAAGAACAAACAATTGGTATCATATAGATGTTATGAACTATGAGTTACTTATAATTAACAAGATTTGGGCATAACTTCTAGATGGAGGCTGATGTGTTAAAGATATTAAATTGTATATATAAGATATTGAATTGTATTTATTGTATTAAAGATATTGAAATGTATACGTAAGCAATTAATATTATGCCCCATTTTCCTTTCTTTTGCACAAAGAATTCTTTCTTTCCTATAATACTGCTGCTTGCTTCTGTTCTATCAGAAAATGGACATTATTGCTGACCCTGCAAAAGTATATACACAGAACAACCTGGATGCCAGATCAGGCATAAGTACTGTATTCTGCAATACTTATTCCAAGAATTTTAACTCCCACATTATACAGGTAGTCCTCACCAACCGCAGTTGGGACTGGCAACTTAAGTGATGCAGTCATAAAATGAAATGTCATGTGATCGCACCTGACTTATGACATCAGTTCTGGTTGTGGTCATTACGCGAATCACTGTGGGTTATTAAGCGTGATGTCACATGATTGTGACTTGCAACTTCCTGCCAGCTTCCCCATTGACTTGTCGGAAGCTGGCTGTGAAGGTCACAAATGGCAATCACATGACCATGGGATGCTGCAACCGTTGTAAATGTGCACCAGTTGCCAAGTGCTCGAATTGCGATCATGTGAATGTGAGGATGTTGTGACAGCCACAACTTCGAGGACCAGTCATAAGTCTCCCTTTTCAGTGCCATTGTAACTTCGAATGGGTACTGAACGAGTGGTCAATAAGCAAGGACTACTTGTGTACTATTTAAGGCTGCATTCTGAGAACTATTTCTTGATATGGAATTCAGTAGAATTCATTTATGAGTTGCTTAATAAGTAGAGAAAACATGCGTTTCTCATTTTCCTGTTTGCAACCTAACTTTTGTCAGTTTATTTTGATTAGGTGTAGGCCAGACAGAACCTTACTATGTGGATAAATTTGGATTTTATGTAGTTACCTGCTGTGGCTATATAACTCAGGTAAGTTCTTTGTACAAACTATATGACATAAGATGCAGAGTGTTAATTGCAAAGCTGTCCTCTCCTTCTAGACTACTGAACTTAAATTATTTAGGTATTTTTATACCTGGTAGGTATAAGGAAGCAAGGGAGTAAGTCTTTTCTTAAACAGTTATAATCATTCTGCCTTGTGACCTGCGTCTAAAGCCCAACATTATTTCTACCATTGTAACTGGCCATACAAAAATGGTTTTTGTAGAGAGTGTATACAGTTTTTGTACTGATTTTTTGCTAAGGGACATTGTGGCTGGAATTTTGCACAGGATTTATTGAAGGTGATTGCCACAAAAATCAAGTGTTCAAAGAAGGCAATCTTATGCTCTGGTTGATAACTTCATAGCATTATTTTTCCACTATTTTTATTTTGCAGGTCAATGACTGGCAAAATGACTGGCCTACTTTTTTTATTCGACACCGCCTCCAAGCCCAAATGGATTTAATTGAAAGAGATTATGGAGACAGAGAAGCAAGACAGTTGTGGGAACAGCTAAAGGTAGGAGGAAAATGCTAGAATGCCATATTAAAGCAGCAGAAAATGTCAGAATGCCTGCCTCTGACAAGATCCAAGTATGCATTTCTGTCTCTGCATCACTCTACCAGCTTTTATTACAGCTATGAGATTTTCTTCCCAAGTAGTTCACTTCTCTGGCAGATTGGTCGATTTATTCGTTTTATTTGTCCACTGCTCTTCAACGTATTTTTTTCCAGCTATGATTTGATTGCCCTACAGTCTTTTTGGGATGACTTGGATATCATTTTTTCCCTCCAAGCCTGTCTTACAAGTGAAATGTAAGAAAATGGGTATACAAATCAGAACTGAAACCTGTTTACTGAAAGGATGAGCCCAAACTTGGTCTGTCCTATTGCATTCATAATACAGGACTGCATTTCATATAACTGTACTAACTCTTGTATTATTTGCATCTTTTTTTTATCTATATTAAATCTGGTTTAATGAAGTTGGTAGACATCTTACTGTTTAAGTCACATATCTAGATCTGCTCATTCCAAACATTCAAGGTGAATAACTAAAGTTCTGGATTTGTGTTCATGAATTGAATGCTATCCACCTTTAGCTCCTGTCTGTCATAACTCCTTGCCAGACTAACATGTGATGAAACAATTTGGTGAGGCTCTCTTCTGCAAAAGTGTTCATTTCACACAGCATATCTCTAGAACCAAGCTTTCATTTTGTACTTTTCATTTTTCTAGATGAAAAGTACACAGAGTATTTAAAAAGCAAATAGGCCTTCTACAGGACAGCTGCTGATCCTGAATCAGTTTCCCAAGGAGACAAAGATTTTGCATCCTTGTAATCCTCCTTCCCATTGCTTCCAGTCTGTCTCTCAGCCTCTGCCTCTGTCAAACTTTCTATAGTACATTTATCTCTCTCTCAACAGCCTGTGATCTAAAATCATTCTAAAATCGGAAAAAAACACTCAAAAGCAATTACAAAGATTGTCCCAGAAGTTAAGAAAGTCTCACACTACCCTTTTCATCTTATCAGGCTAAGCCATAGTGTGAAGCCCAACAGTGCCAGTAAAAGCAACAAAATTTGTAATATATCCAGTTTACAAACTGGGATTAAAAATAAAAACATAAGATTTAGAATTTTATGAATGTTCTGCTATATGCCTTGTAGTTTCCTCAGTAAAAAAAAATGTTCTTATTTCCTTTGGCCACTTTTTAAGGTATGTGTTTTTGTAATGCTTTTTACAGCCAAAGATTCCAGAGATGTTTTGTGACCTGGAAATCATTCCTGCACTCATTCATGGGGACCTGTGGTCAGGAAATGTAGCTGAAGACGACTCTGGACCAATTGTCTTTGACCCAACTTGTTTCTATGGCCATTCAGAATTTGAACTTGCAAGTGCTATAATGTTTGGTGGATTTAGTAGCTCTTTCTTCTCTGCTTATCACAGCAAAATCCCTAAGGCTCCAGGCTTTGAAAAACGCAATAGCCTTTATAAGTTATTTAACTACATAAACCACTGGAACCATTTTGGTACAGAATTTCGGGGACCTTCTCTTAATGTAATGCAAAGACTTTTAAAATAAGTGTTATGCGCAGTCATTTTAGTAAGTGATTCTTGGTTTGGTACCTGTTGCTTCAAATATGATGCATCAGAATAGTTACCTAGAAGATAGAAAGAGTTAAATTGTTGTCGTATACATCTGCTTCCTCACAAATTCTTGCAGTGGGCTTATAATAATTGCATGCTATAATTATCAATTGGTATAAAGATAATTATTTCAAAAACAGCTCATCCTCATGTCCCCTTAAATAAACATGCCCCAGTAACAGTTTTGTGACAGATCTTCATGATATTGCCTTCATTGTATCCCCAGCCTACATCTGAGGCAGCTTAAAGTTGTCTCCAGCTGTTCTAGTTTTAAAGTAATGTTTTCCCTCTTCTCCCAACCCAGCTTTTGCCACAAATATATTGCATGCTTCATTAGTTGAGGTGGTTGCTGTGGGCATTTCCCTCCCACCAGTCACTGTACTCTGCTCTCCGTGATCATTTGGGCTTTCACTGCAGGAGAGACCAGACATCTGGGTTCTGCAGAAGCATCTCCATTAGTCTGACTGACACTTTTCAAACTGTTTTTTGGGTCTAATGCAGGATCCTTACAAACACGGGTTTAGTGCTCTCTTGAGGGAGTGGCAGTCCTGTGTCAATTTAAGGTCAGTTTAAATGAGGAAACAGAGCCAGGTTCTCTTAGTTATGCTTTGCTTGTTCTGTCACCAGGGAATGTCTTACAGGTTTTCTGCTGTTCTGCTAACAAGGGGTTTCACATGGCTGATTCTTACTGTTTTTATTACTTTGGGGGGGAAGTTCCCAGTTTTCATACTCCATTCTGGCTTCATGGCAACCCACAAGCCACTTCTGCTGAACTGAACTGGACTCACTGCTAGCACTCTCTTTGCCTAGCAGCATTAGTCAAGGATGAATCTTGTTCATACTTGATCCTTCTCTCCCATTTCACCTGACACCCCTCTCCCATGCCTGGGATCTGTTAGTTCAGCAACTAGACTGGTGGCTAAATATGCTATTCTAACCCATCTATAGTCATCTCACCCCATAAGGGAAGATTGGTATTTATCTGCTGGCAGGCAGTGCTCAGTGGGATTGGGAGAATTCACTAGACACTTTCCTTAACTTGTCCCCATTAAAAGAGTAAGGGCAGCACCAGTTGCTGGCTTCATTACTGTGCCAGAATAGGGTTCAGTAATTGGGGCATACTTTTCTGCTGGTTCAAGGACTGATGGATAGCATTTTAAGACAGCCATCTATTTCTGCCTTGAGTTAAAGAGAGAACCTTGCTGGCTAAGAATTCAGGGTATTACAATCTACACATATCCAGAATGTACCAGATTGGAAATGACTATATTATGCTACATCTGCACTGACTATGCTATTCCTTTCAGGCAACTTTGTTATTGCTTACCTTGTGCCAACATGTCAAAAACTGTATTGGCTGCTGGGACATATGGATAGTCAAGTGGAAAAGACTTGTGGAAGATGTACATGGTAACTGCAGCGAGATTACTATATGCATAAAGGTGGAATGGTTGAAGATGACAGAACTTGCATAAATGGCAAAACATACTTGTTTGATTAGGGAAAATACAACAAATACATTTTATTAGTGACCAGAAACCCTTTATGGACTTTTTGCTGAAAAGGGAAAGAAATGAACTAGTGATTTATGGATTTGATGATTAGAAAGGGGAAAATATGGGAAGAAGGGAATTATGATGTAATGTTAAAGAGGGAGGATAGATTATAAATTTATTTGTAACTGCTGTAAAGAAGATTGGAAGTCAATCCCTTATATATTTTCTTTTCTTTCTTCGGTGTATCTTTTTTTACTTATTCACTTGCTCTGCTTTTTTTCTTTTTTTCTTTACTTCTTTTACTTTTCTTTAAAAGTATAAAAATTTAGAACTAGTATAAACATTTAGTACTAGGATATATGCTGTTAATCCTTCAAGGACTCATGCAACGCTGATAGAAGTAGCCAATCCTGCTAATATTTTAATTCTTAGTGATTCTGTTCCAAGATAGTAATCCAAAACAAATAATGAAGTTCCAGTGTTCATATCTTCCCATTTTTTCTCCATCTAAGAAGAATTACTTTAAAATACAGAAATGCAGAGAAAATTATGTATTTCTCTAGTCACTGATTCCCATACTACTTCAGGATTCATTTGATCACTGTGCTGCATTTACTTATTATATCTTATTTGAAAAATTATTCTAATGTCTCCTTTCCGCTAGAAAAAAAGTTGCATTGTTATTTTATAAGATTATTGCACTTTAGTATTCCTAGCATCTCTAAGAAAATTTATAGAATAGGATGTTGAAAATAATTAACAATCTTTGAAATGTATATTAGAAATGCATATATGGTAAATCAAATAAAAATGATTTGAGGGAAAATTCTTTATAGTGGTTGATGGCCTCAGAATTATGCAGGAACATAGATTAACTATTTATTGAAAGAAAACATTTAATATTTATGATTGCTCTTTTTCTAAAAATATATTGTTATTATATTTTTAAGAGGGCATGCTGGCGAAATTCCTCAGTAATATTCATTGACCCCAATCAGTGAATTCCCAGATAAATCAGTATAGGTCCTTGGTTCTAATATTTTACTTTTTTTTTTCTTTTACAAAGTTCTTGTATCACAAGAGTAACGCTATGGATAAGCTCACAATATGTAATAATACAGAGTTTGAATGAAAGTTCCTGTACATATAATGTGGAATCTAAATAAAGCACAGCTTTATTTACATCATTTGAAACTAGAGTTCTTATAACTATAAACTTAGGCATCTAACTTCTTATGAGTTTGAAATCAAAATTGTAGTTTCTCCGCATTTGGGGTACTTTCTCCTCTTTCAAGCTTAATTGCCAGGCAAGTGAGGGGGAAGAAATCGGCTGCAGTCCAAATGGAAAAACCTCACAGCTTACATGGGGCTTACAGGCTAAATATTCACCACCATCGTTTTAAGAGTTTATAATAAATGGGATTAAATATGACTTTCATACAGTATACAGGAATGTTTAAAGAAGGAAAAAAAGGGGGAAAAAGAATCTTTTCCCCATTTTCTGCTACACTGAACAGGAAACAGGGATTTGATGGTCTCAATTACACCTTCCAGCTCTGGTTCTGTGAATCTATGAATCTACATTTTGTCCTATTGACATGATAATCTCAAGGGGATAGATAACAAGCAAGAAACTGCTTATTCTCTCTTAAAACCTATAGCTAACCAAGGTTTCACCTTACAATTAACACTAATATAGTGGTGCTGCATTTTGAAGACTTGTTGAACTGTAGAGGAGTAGCTGAGTCACATGAAGTGAAGATGAGATGGCAGTGTACAGATTCTGTAACTCACACAAAGATAAATGTGTTGTATGATTAACGCCTGCCTGCCAATCTCAGTATATTTTTACTTGGAAAGACAGTTACTTTTTGGGATTTCAGAAAGAGGTCCTTTACATCAGCTGCTCCCTGATCTTTTTGGCACAGCAGGTGAAGACCTAAGGGGAGTGAGAAGGAAAAAGGCCCATTATTTCTTTCTGGACAGGACTATAAGATTCTATCAAACTAGATGGAACACTTATGACCAAATCACTTACGAGGCTAAAATCATAATTAGGCAAACTTTTTTTTTAATCGAAAGAGATGAAGGTGGAGTATGATTTTCATTTGGATGACAATGAATAGGAAGAGGAAGTTTAACATCTTCCTCCTTGATATACTTCAGTTGAAGCTGCCACCCCCATTACTCCCCAGCACACTCCTTTCAGTAGTGTCAATGGGACCTTTCCCCCCCTCCTGGAATCAACAGCAATTACAGAGAACAGTGAATTTCCTTTTACGTTCCCTTGAAACATCCTGTTTAGATCTCTCAAACTTCTGTAACCTTAATGTGAAGATACTGAGCTCAACTCCTAGTGACTACATGCCTAAAATGGAAACTTGGAAGTGCTTGTCAAGCTTTGTAAGCAATTTGTCACAGATCAAATCACTATGATATGAACTTAAAGCAATTCCCCTATGTTTCTATTCCACAGAAATATCCAGGATAAATTAAAAATCTTCAAAGCCACGCTATCTTAAGAAATCTTGGCAAACAAGATTTTAAGCTGCAACAATTACTTAAATATGGCCATGCTAGATCAAAGAAAAGTCCCAACACTGATTATTATCTTGCTGTACCCTCATTTCATTCCTCCATTTGGTGGATGACCTAATACTGCCAGAGTTACTGAAAGGACATGTCTATGGGTGGGCCTCTTTCTTTGCCCTCTTTTTCACCCATATCAACCATACACTCTTAATGCCAGGTGACTGGACCTGATCTAAGAATAGTGACAACTGTTACACTATTGTCTAGTTACTCTATTAAGCATACCTAGTAAATTATATGCCCCCTTCTTGTATTATAAGCTATTGGATTGGCTGGAGTAGGGAGGGCAGATCCACAATGGATCAGTGTGCCATCTTACCATTTCTAATAGAGAAACATGCATATGGCCAACACCCTCCCCCATCCCCATATGTTGCCTTCATTAGCTTAAAATTGCCCTTCAGTTCTATTCCAAGGGACAAACTATGGTGGAAGCTGTCCCTCACATCTATAGGTTGGTAGCTACTCTCCTTAATTAGGCTGCTGTATAAAAATACAGTGACCCAAAGTTAGATGGGACAGAGCTGAAAACCTTACTGTGGACATTCCAATCCACTGAGGAGTGAAGCAGTGTTGTATTCTAACTCCCTTGTTGAATATGTACGTGAATTCAGTGGTAGCTGCCTTAACCGGAAAGGAATTCCATGATCCTAAACTCAGTGACATGCATTTGGCAGTACTGCAGATAATGTGGCAGTTCTTTTGCTTACACAGGTGGCCCTGAGAGGAATTTTGTAAGGGGAAAGGACTTACAGTCTGGAAGACCTAATCACTACAAACATCAATGGCAAATTGGAAATAATAAAACTGAACAAGTTCCAGCTTGTAAATATCTTGGCATAATTTTTCAAGCCTTCAGAGCTTGGTGGGAACAAATTACAGCCATTTCTCCCAGAAGCACCAAGGCAATTCTACACTTTTTCATTCCAAAGGAGGAAGATGCATGCCTGCCTCCATCAAGATTTTTAATGCTAAAACTATATCCCAAATCTGTACAGTGCACAGTATTGTGCCTACAATAATTCAAAGCCCTTAGATGATGTTTAATCTAGGTTTTTTATGAGCACTCTTCTGCATCCCATGCTGTGTTTCAGATGTATGGAAATTGGTAATGATTCCACTGGAGATGAGAGTCCACTTTGCCCACTTTCTTACTGGCTTAAATTTCTGTTTTCCAGTGGCTCACTGGACCATTAATTCTCTTTGATGGATTTTTATCAAGGTGGAAAAAAAAATCTCAGCTGACTTGTATTACTGTGGCCTTTCTATATGCTAGTTTAGAGGGAGCTAAAGCTGAAATCTGTCAAAGAGTCTTTGACTGCACAGCAGATGGATTTTGGGTGTTACAGGGCAGTGGGTTCCAATATGGAAATCTTGTATACCCACAAACTACTTATTCAGCTTTGTTTGCACAGCGTACTACAGAGCATTTTCTGCAGCTCATTTCAACACCTTACCCCTAGTAGTACTAAATGGGAGGGGCACAGTAGGACCTCATTCACTGAGAGATGCTGCCCTTGTGGTCAGAATGAACCTAAGAATCTGTCACATGTATTTTCCCACTGCCTTTTTTACATCATTTTACATACAGAGATACCTTAACTGCCTCACAAAAAAAACCCACATCTGTTATGGGAGGCGGTTCATTTCCTACTTATAGATTAGAACTCTACCATCATCTATAGATTTGCTAAGTTTCTATGTGCAGTGATTTCCATAAGAAGGCACAAGATGTCCTAATCCTGGAGTGATGACATTATGAAGTTTTTCTTTTCTTTTTTATCATATTTTATTCTATTTCTATTTTATCTTGTATTTTATACTGTTTTATTGTATCTTACTCATTTTTTTTTCTTTTCTCCGTTTTTTAATTCTTCAGTTTTAGGTTTTATATGACTGTTTTGTTATATTTGGTGTTGCTTCTGTATATTTATGCTTGCTGGTCATTGACCATAATGAAATAAATTTGATTTGGTTCACAGAAATATCCAATATAAATAAAAAAATCTTCAAAGACTGAAGTGATATTTTAAGAAATCTTGGCAAGATTTTAAGCTACAATTATTTAAATACTGCCATATTAAAGCAGACAAAAGTCCCACTACAGTGTCTTCAATAACATTCAGAAGTTGCCCCAGAAAACCTTGCAGGCCATATCTGGATCTCATATTGTGAATAATAAGTGTAATTTACAAACCTAGCCTTTAGGACAAAGTGTATCAGGAAATTTCTAGTACATGTGAACAGGCGGCGTTGGGTGAAATATGACATTCTTTTCCATTCAAAGAGAGAATGACCTTGGCTTTGGTGTTAACATCTATCTGGTACTATTAAGTATGGAGTTCCACTGGGTCCCATCTTTGTTTAAAATCTCTTTAATTTTTTTAAAGGAACACTGTATATAAAAATACCTCTTAACATTTGCCTTTACTTCACCACTGACATCCATGTATATGCTTCCCATTCAAAGGTTCTAATGCAGATATCATGACTCTAATGCAGTTATGTATGTAGAGTTAGCTTGCTTGATCTTTTAGAATTTAATTATGCCTTTTCTCCATTATTATTATTAATTAAATTTATTATGGCCACCCACTCCAAAAGACTATGTTATTAACATATATTGTTAGACTGTTCTTTAATTGAATAAGAGTATGTTCTTATTCTGGATATGAATTCACTTATGACTCTGGACCAGCCAGTTTGTAAGTTACCTCTCAAGGTAGTCTCAGTATAACATGGGTATGTGAGAAGGGAATCATTAATTTATTTTTTCTATTTTTAGAAAATAGATATATGTACGTGTGTGCGCGCATCTATCCATCCATCCATCCATCCATCCATCCATCCATCCATCCATCCATCCATCCATCTTTTTTGTTTCCTGGGCCGATTCTATAATAGAAAAAACAAATATAACATCCTTTCTAAAAAACAAAACAAAACCCACAGTACAATCACGAGGTGCACCGTCCTGACTTCCCTCCTTGGAAGAAAGGGATAACTATTCTCCGTCGTTCTTGTCTGAGTTGCCTACCGTCCTCATCCTTTAACCTTTACTGGCGCTGGGTCTGGGTCTGTACCATTTCTATAAAATGCATTTGATGAGAAGCTGGTGTTGCCGCCCGGCCTGGCGTGGGGCAAAACAGCTGCTTTGCTACTTCGGGACTGAGAGAAAGCTGGGGAGAAGCGCTAGGAAAGGACGCATCACCAACAACCCCCTCCGAGCTCATCGGCAACCGTGCGCCACTGCCGGCTCCTTCCTTTTCGCTCCCTCCCTTTCGCTAGGCTCCTCCTCCTCCTCCTCCTGAAGGCGGAACTCCCTGACGTTTTCAGCCTTTCTGTCCCACCCGAGGAGCCGTACTGCGGAGGTCTGGCCTTGATAGGCACCAACGACAAGCCGCGTTGGTTGTTAAGGTAATGAAAGCTTCGCTGGGGCGGGAAGAGGGCCTGGTCCCTTGATGGCCCTCAGGGGGTCGTCCGGCCTCTGCGACAGGCGCGGTGGGAAGGCGGGCTGGCTGGAAGGAGACTGGGGCGTTGGGAGGCGCGGAGCGTTGTCTGGAAGGGGAAGGGATGTGGGCCGGTCCGCCCAGGGAACATTCCCTGGAGGAAGGATGCAGGGCGTCCCCAGGAAGGCAGTTCGCTGCCTGAGTCTAAAACCGTCCTATTCCACAGCTGCTGCTTCAGGAACCGCATTTAAGTCTCTGCCAAGGTGTGGCGAGAAATAAAATCGAGGGAGTGTGTCTAAGCGTGGGTAGAGTGCGTTTTACTTTTGGATATCTGTGCTTCCGTACCCAGCCCTTGGAAACATCGGCATCACAAGAAAGATCGTTTAGTGCAACTGGGTGACATTTAGAAGGTGTAGGCCTGCTGTAATTCAAATTTTATTTGAAAAGCACACTGATTTTCAGAGCCATCCGATTTCTGCAGATTGAGGATGGGGGAAGCTGCTTTATACAGTTTCCATCTAGCAAACAGTAACAAATGCTAGGATTTTAGGCAGCTTTTCCATGGGTGATGCTGAAAAGATAGACAAGAATATCCACAAGAAGGAATTGGGGCTCACTTAAGGTTCATTGGAAATTATGGATGCTGCAAATAAGTATTGACTAGATTGGACCCTATTGAAATTAAGGGAACCTAAACATGAGTTATAAATAAAACATGGAATGGATAGTGAAAGGAAAATCAAGGGGCCAAAGAAACAGATGAGATGGGTAATATTGCTTATTTAGTATACTTCCTGGAGACTTTCTTATTTGTTAGATTTAGATCCTAGCTTGCCTTCAGTAGCTGGAGTGATGTATGTAGTGCTTCCTCCTCCCTTGTTTCCCCACAACAACCCTGTGTGTTTGGTTGGAGCTGAAAGTGAGTGAATGACCCAAAGTTACATACTGAAAAGATTACATATATGTGTGGACATATATATGTGTTTGTACCAGTGCTTGTGTGTCTATATGTGCAGCCTTCATCCCACACATTGCATACGGCCTTTGGGATTAAGGTTAGCCTTTTGTATTCTAAAGATAGTACTTAAATAAAGTTCATGGTACAAAATGAAATGGGGCTGAAGAGGTATAGAGCTATATAATTAAAGATCATAAGTGTAGTTTTTTTTCATCAGTTAATCTTATGTGAGGGATAAAATGGAAATTTGACATACTAGCGTGTAGAAAAAAATAACATAGAGTAGTAAGTTTTTAATTAAGAGGTGTATTCTCAAAAATATATTTGAGAGTTAAGGCACTTAGGTTACCCAGATATAAATGACTGAATTTGATTTTTGTCTTAACCAAATATTCAGTCATAAAAAAAAACAAAAAACAAAAAGTGTGCATGAAGTCCATTAGTGGAGGAGGGGGCATTAAACATTAACTTTTAAGTTTGTCTATAAGCATGAACCATACAAACCATACAACAGCTTCATGACTGTTGCTTACGTTTATGTTATTGTGTTGTTTTTAAATGTAAGCCATCCAGAATCACTATTGTGAGATGGGGAGGTATATAAATTGAAAAACAAACAAAAAAAAATTGTCTGCAAAGACATAGCCTATCCGTATTACATAATAAATGCTGTAACAGAAAAAATGCCATTGATATATTGGCCTACATAGATATTCTCTGCATTATTCTTTGTATCTTATTAAGCTTTTAAATTGTAATGCCACCCAGAATCATTTGCAGTTGGGTGGCCTAGAAATGTGACAAATAGCTTTCAGAACTTGTTATGATATACCCATGGCCCAGTGCTTCAGTCCTACCCATCTTGAGGCAGTGTAATTTATCTGATTTCCACTTCTTTTTTGGGGCATTCCATATTTTTCAAAATAAATTCAGTGCTTTATTTATAATAATCTTCACCATGTACGGATTTTAGTGGATCTCAGTCATGTCAGTATCCATTCTTAATTCCTGTTAATTTTCTGAATAGTATATTACAACAAAACCAAGAAAAAAGTCTCACACTTCATTAAAGTTTCAGTTATTTGCTATGGACAGTCTTAATTCTTGTCTCATTATGACCATTTCCTAGGTCTACCTTGGGGATTAAATCTGTACCCTCTGGATACAAAGCAGATGTTCTTCACCATAGTTAAAGGATTTCCAAAGTTATTTATACTCAAAACCAGTGATAACTAGGTATTTTACATAGCAATCTTGTAGTTCCATAGTACAGTATAGGTATTTGACGAATTTGGGAGAAGAGGTGGGAGGGGGGATTGTCATACATTTTAAGAGAAATAACTTTTCTTTGTGCATTACTGTTAATTGTTTTTATTTTGAAGAAGGAATAGTCACAGTCCAGTTTGGATCAAAGAGTCTTAGACACTCACTGAAATAAATGAATTTTAAGTGTACTTCTGTTATGGATTATTATTGTGAAACACATTAATAGTATTTAATTATTTATTTAACTAACATTAAATGTTAATTTGTTTTCATTTTACTAGGAAAATAATTTATCAGGAAAGGAGATGGTTTTAAAAGAGATGAACAATGATGGGTTTGAACAAGAGGACAACAAATGCATGGAGCCTGATGTCATTGCCAAGGGAAACATACTTGAGAGTTTTACAGAGAGTCAAGAAACTCAGGAGTTGATTAATCATCTTAGATTGGCATATGAAGATTTGACACTGCGAGAAAAAGTTCTTGAAAAATTTAAAGGTATGAGATAATATTTGTAAATAAATCAAAGTAAACCATATGGTCCATAGAAAAATTCATCTTGGTCAGGATCTTATATATGTACACACGTGTATATTTGTCTACAAGATTGGAATTGTTATTTCCATCTTTTGCCAAGTGCGGTTCAAGAGTAACAAGTATTATTAACAATTATTCATCTCCCCTTATTTACTAACTCAGTAGGACTACAATCCTAAATATATTTTCCAGATCATCAATAAAGAAGAACTTAAATCTGAATAAATATGTATAAAATTGTTCTCTCAGCCTCAGCCTGCTTTTTTCAACTGAAATAAGCTCTTAAATTTCCATTAGGAAGACTAATGACTTTCTACATATACTATTATTGCTTCAGCTTTATTAATAGCAGACATACTATTTGTTTTTGAAGAGTTAATTAATGTTTGATACAAAGCAACATTGCAATAGATTCCTGATCACTGCAAGATTGCAATTGTATTCTTGCAATTGTGCGTCTACATAAAGAGTTATTTTCAGAAAACATTTTGGCGCTGAAATAATTATTGCTTCTTGCATTTTCTGTCTTTAGACTGTAGTCTATGTATCATTTATATGGGACTGAATCCAGCAGTATTTTTTAAAGTAAACCTTCATAGGCTTAGCCTTAAAGTTTCTAATTTTCCTTTATTTGATGTCTGCTAGGTAATTATTTGCAAACATGTTCTTAAATTATTGCATTTAAGAGCTGATGAGGTTTATTAAAAATTGATGGGCTTCCAACAAATTTAATTTTAAAAAAATAACATTTAAGATCCTAGTTTGTTAAATATATAGTCCCATAATGATATCCTAAATTACTTTGAAAATTGTTTGAACCCATAGGAACAGATATTTGAGAGAACTGAGTGAGGGCCTGTAGAGAAATTGGGGAAGTAGGAAAGTCCTGTTCTATAAAATTTATTTCATTCATAGAAGAATAATGAAGATCTTAGCCATTACTTTTTTGTTAGCTTTGTTACATCATAATCTTTTTTATGGTATCATAGTAAATCTTTACAAATAGTACAGGTAGTCTTTGCTTACTGACTGCTCGTTCAGCAACCATTCAAAGTTACAACGGTGCTGAAAAAGGAGATTTACAACTGGTCCTCAAACTTGCAGCTGTCACACCATACCCACAGTCATGTGATTGCAATTTGGGTGCTTGGCAACTGGCACACGTTTATGATGGTCACAGCGTCCCACACTCATGTGACTACCATTTGCGACTTCCACAGCCAGTGTCTGACAAGCAAAGTCAGTGGGGAAGCTGGCAGGAACTTGGAAATTGCAGTCATGTGACATCACACTTAATGTCTGGGGGTGATTCGCTTAACAACCACAGCTGGAACCGACATCATAAGTCAGGTGCTGTCACATGATGTTTCATTTTACGATCATGTCACTTAGTGATGGAATTGATAGTCCCAATTGCAGCCAGTAAGTGAGGACTGCCTATACATGTTTTAGTGATTGATTTTTAAAAAATTGATCCAATACATTATTAACTTGATTAGAGGGAAGATTTCTATCTGGGTCATTACATTCCTATAGGTAATTAATATCATCTAGGAATAAGCCAGCGTTGTAGACTCCATCAACCCTTTGCTATTTTAAACCTGTTTTAGAAAACCTCATTCATTCATTCATTCATTCATTCCTTTCTTTCTTTCTTTCTTTCTTTCTTTCTTTCTTTCTTTCTTTCTTTCTTTCTTTTCATTCATTCATTCATTCATTCATTCATTCAATTAATATGTTGGCCATCTCCCCCAGAGGGTGCCTCTGGGCGGTTCACAGTTAAAATAAAACCCCAAATAGTTAAAAATAGAAATATCCTCATTAATTTAGTTAAAAAGTCGAACTA